ATACTCGGTGAAGCCAAATTTATTTGAGCGCTAACAATTTTTCAATAAATTTTTAAAAATATTTCTAAACGTTCAATTAAGATGAAATTTTTTCTATATATTTTACAGATATGTATATATATTTGTACAAAATTTTATTAAAATAGCTCTCGTAACTTATTTTGAATAGAATTGCAAAATGTAGAATCCTCGGTGAGACCAAATGTATTTAAGAGCGCTCTCAATTTTTCAATGAATTTTTAAAAATATTTCTATACGTTCAATTAGGATGAAATTTTTTATACATATTTTACAAAGATGTATTTATAATTTTACAAATTTATATCATCGTGTACCTAATAAATTTTTTGAAAAAAAATGCAAATATACAATATTCGAAAAAAAATTGCAAGCAAGTATAGCAAAGTAAATTCTGCCCTTTGCACTCTTATTTATTTAAATTTATGTTATTATTTATCAATATTACTAGATGTTATTTAACAGTTGTAATAAATATTGTAAATAAAAAAAAGTATAGCAAAGGCACTTAACAGAATTCTATACGACTTTTGCAAGTTTTTCAAAAATTTTAGATATAATTGCTTAACAAAAGAACACATTTTTAGTTTATATTGGTACGGAACCTTGTGCCTAATTACTTTCAGTATTTATTTTGGTTTCTTGGTATCATTTTAAATCAACTACAAGCAATTCATCGGATTCTTAAAATATTTAAACGGCCGCAGCTTCACAGTTAATTAAAAACAAACTTATGCCAACCAGTATATACATTTAGTGTATACGTGTATACATGTATAAATGTATATATATGTTTTTTTCTTGTTCTCAAATGCTACCGACGACTTGAATGTTCCTTCACAGTCGATTTGATGTCAATTCCACGTAAAATTAATTGGCTATTTTAGTTTTTGAACAGGGCCGACTTTGAAAAATTTCTGAGATGGACCCTAAAAGATTGAGAAAAGAAATTTTGAGATAACTTTTACGTTTCAAAGATTTCTGAACATTTTGTCATACCTTGTGTGTTGTAAGACATAAAGTTGTATCCAAACATATGTTTGAATGATTCAAAAAACATTCGATTCCTATTGATAAGGAGACGTGCTTATTAGTTTTTGGTAAAGACAGCTGTTGCCCTTTCGAAGGCACGGGACAAAAAGTGCCAAAACTAGTATTTCAGTTTTTGAGAGAACGGAGCGTCCAAGCAGAATACTATTTTTTTGGGTCGTCCACAATTTCGGGCGCACGGTTCAACCGATTTGAGTGATTCAAAAAGACAGCTGTTGCCCTTTCGAAGGTACGGAACAAAAAGTGCCAAAAGTGGTAATTCGGTTTTTGAGAGAACGGAGCGTCCGATTTGAATGACTCAAAAAACATTTTACTTTTATTGACGAAGTGAAGAATTAATTACATTTTTGGATAGGCAAGATAGATTTTTTTTGAATAGGCAGGATACTATTTTTTTTGGATTTTGGGCTCACGGTTCAACCGATTTGAGTGATTCAAAAAATACAGCCTTTGGTACATCAGTTTTTGAAAGAACGGAGCGTCCGATTTGAATGATTCAAAAACATTTTACTTGTATTGACGAAATGAAAAATTGATTGAATATTTGAGAAGGCAGGTCTAGCGGTTTCGGAAATACATACGAAAAAGTAAAAAAATGATATTTTGCGTTTTTTTGAGATGGAACCCTAAAAAATTGAGAAAAGAAATTTTGGGGAAAAATAATGTAAGATTTGAGAAATTTTGTACATGAATTATTAGAAAGTAGATATAAGAGTAGCTGCAAATTAATTATGTGTTAAATAATATGAAAAATTATTGCTTTGACAAAAAAGTTTTCTGCAGAACGTAATAAGTAGATAAAATTATCTATAAAATGATACCTGACATATATGTTTACAAATATTTTGCAGAAAGTTATAAATTTTTCAATAAACATCTTTTTTTTCACAGTTTTATTTTGAAAGCTCGAGTGTATTTTCCAAGATTTTTTTAGATAATTTAAAAACGGTTTTAGTTACCACAAAATTATCTTTGGAACAATTTATATAGATTATACTATATACATCATGACACTTAATATATTTTTGTAAAAAAAATAAATATTCAAAGTTGCAAATTTTTTAACAAAAACGTATATTTGCTTGAAAATCATTTATCACATTTTTAGATTTTTCCAAATAATTCAAAAGCAGTTGTATCACAAAATCATCTTAGAAGCATAAAAAATAGATAAAATCATCTAAAAAACTGTGTAAATTGAAAATATCGATAACTATTTCGATTCTGTTTAAACAAATGTGTTTTAAATATTTTTTCGTTTCGGAATCAGTTTTTTTTTTGTTCGGATTCAAATGTGATTCCAATTAGTTTGGAATTCGTTATTATTAATTGCTTCTGAACGGTTGTCTAAGCAAAAAATCTTAATTATAAATGTCATTTTATAATATATATGTATATATATATACATATATACATATATATATATATATATATATATATATATATATATATAAATACACATTCAATCTTACCTACACTTAAAATTTTGCAACTATAACAATTGATTCGTAAGAAAAACTATATAAGAAGGTTTTATAAGTTATAATTTTGTATCAAATCATTTTAAAGATATGATATGATATGAGTAAAGTTTCTTAGATGATTTTATAGTAGATACAACGGTTTTTGAACGATCTGAAAAGCTTTAAGTAAGTGTCCAATAAGATAAATAATCTAGTTGTTCAAAAAATTGCAAATTGATTTTTTTATAATAGTTATATGTTGTTGCAAAATATTTTTATTGTTTATATATAATATATTTATATACATATATATATATATATATATATATATATATATATAAATTTCGATTGCAAGAAGCGATGGTATTCCAAAATTAAAAAATCCGAGCGTTAATTAATGGCAGCTTCTGATTAACTTAATGAGACAATTAGCGATTCCAACATGTATTTATATATTTATATATAAAATATACATATATAGAAATATATATACATATATAAACTTATATATAAATGTATATATACATATATAAATCGTACACATGTTCAAAAACGTGTTTTGAAACGGGTTGTGAAAGCTTTTTTGTATTCAAGATATATATTTATATATATATATATATATATATATATATATATATATATGTATGTATATATATCTACATATGTATATATATATATACACACATATATATATATATATAAATATGTGTGTGTTTGTATGTGTGTATTTATGTGTATGTACTTGTCTAAGATCCTCCCTTTTGGAGTACTTCAATAAGTTCAGGAACTTTCTATACAAAAGTGTCCCTGAAGGCGATTGCAAAAAAGTTATAACCACACATTTTGAAATTATTTTAAAAATATAAATATTAATTGCTGATTAATTTATGATATTAAACTAAAGTATTGCTAATTGAATTTGCTACAAACTTGGCTTAGATTATTTTAGATTTTACTAATTAGTTTAGTAGCTGTAGTTAAAATTATACAAAAGTGTCCTTGAAGGTGATTGCAAAAAAGTTATAACCCCACTTTTTGAAATTAATTTCAAAATATAAATATTCATTGCCCTGACATATGATATTAGACTGAAGTTTTGCAAATTTAATGTACTACAAACTCGACTTAGATCATTTCGGGCTACTTTAAATAGTTTTTGTGCTATAGTTCATGTCCCGTCTCGAGTTACAAATTTTCATACATTGTTCATACAATGTCGAATATTTTCTTAAACAAAATACGATTTTGTTATTAAAGGAAGTCGAAATTTATATGAACATAAATTAATAAATAAATTATTTGTATTAAAAATTAAATATTTTGTTCATACTTTAAAAAAAAAGTTAGATACTTTCAATTTATTAAATTAAGTATTGTAAAAGTATTATAAGAAAGATTCATAAAAAAATATTCGAAACGTTTGCAATGGTATATATATATATATATATATATATATATATATATATTGAGTTTTATATATATATATATATTTATATATATACATACATACATATATATATATATATATATATATATATATATATATAATAGTGTTTTATTCAAACCATGTGTTGAAAAGTATAAAATTAGAATCAGATTCTTAAAAATCATAAAAACATATTTTAGAGTTCGCCAAAATTTAAACACATCTGTATAAATATAAATAAATATATATATATATATATATATATATATATATATAGTAACATACTAAAATTTCAGCATCATGTGATAATTAGTTTGGCTATAGTATCCTAATTACTATTAGTAATTTGAGTATTTGATGAAGAACATGAGTAATTGTTGTATTATCATTTTTAAATATTATAGTTTAATGATATTTATAGTTTTTTAGTATATGAATAATAAATTTAAGCTTTTAGTATAGCTGTACTAAATTTTTAACATTCGAATATAATTACATTTATTATAGTATAATTCGATATGGTTCTAGTTTCAATAGTTTTTCAATCATTATATTATTATTTTTAACTATTTTAGTTCAATTCAAAATGTAGTTTTAAATTTTTTTAGTATAATTTTAGAGTTTTAGTAGCAACATTCTAAATTATCATTGTTGTCCTGTGATTAGTTTAGCCGCTGTGGCATGAAAACTATTAGTACTAAAGTATTTGAAACTATTTGTGCCAATTTTTATAATAACGTCAATAACTATTATAGTAAGTAAAAAAATTAAGTTTAAACTATTTTGAGTATGAATATAAGGTTTTAGTACCAATGTCCCAAAATTTCAGCGTTCTATTAAGTTTAACGTGATCAGGGTGACCTAAGTACTAATAGTAACACCAATGAAAACAGGCTGTACCGACTCTCATAATACTGTCAACTACTATTTTATTTACTAAAAAAATTATAGTTGTATAAATTAAGGACTTGAGTATTAACGTACTAAAATTTTAGAACACTTCTACATTTATTTTAGTCTGATTAATTAAAATTTTCACTCACCGTTCCCACTGCCGTGTCCAAAAACTTGTCCCTGTCCAGAAACTTGAAACATAGGATGTCCCCCAATAAAAGGATTCCTCTGCCAACCCCCTTGTGGAACTCCGGTAGCCCCCGACATTCCAGGATGCGACCCCGACATTCCCGGCGGCGGTCCCGAACCAGGAACTCCAGAACCACCAGGAGGAACTCCAAAAATAGGCACACCTTGACCCCAGGCAGCTGCCAAAGCAGAGAAAGGAGTTGGCCTGATTGGCGTTCCAGGGATGAAAAATTCTGGTGATTTTCTCGGACTCGTTTCACCATCTGAACCAGATTGTTTGTCCAGGGATTTTTTACGCGACTCTTCATCGTCTGATGATTTTTTTGAAGGTTCTTCTACATCCTCAATGTCTACTATTGAGTTCTCGTCTTCGTGGGAATCGTATTCCTCGTCACTTGTGTTGGTCCTGTTACAATTGGCAAGGATTTTTTGGATGTTCTGGTTAGAACTAGGATTCAACAAGATATTGGTTTGGTTCAAATCGTTGACATTGGCTAACAGTCTCTGGATATGTTGATTGGTTTGTTGTTGACTTATAACTAAAGATGAAGGGCTCGTACTTAAATCAGTGGCTTGGGCTTGTCCAGAACCGTACTCAAACCTTACAGGACTTTTACCAGGACTCCTAGACAACCTATTCAACTGATTTTCTTGATAACCTATGATGACTGGTGGCGAATTGCGTTCCACACTCGGCCTGGTATCAGCCAGCAAACTGGCTACTGAGAAATTACTAAGTCTATTATTTGATGTTTTGGTTGTGACTGATGGTTGTTGGTGAACCGGTTCACCGCCGGCGGTGGACGTTGTCGTCGTATTGGCGGCGGTTATCGTCATTTTACTTCTTGATGGTTCACAGGGTGATGATGTTGTCGTGGTTGTTGATTTTAACATTGGGACTGCTGGTGGATTTATTGGAACTGGAATGTCCTTAACATTTTTGGGGTAATAGACACACACTTGATGGTTGTCACACACTATAAAACCAAATCACACACTTCACTTAAATGTCCTTGGTAAACCAAATTTTGTTTTACTAAACCAAATTTGCAAAAAACTTTTACAATTATATTTTTTTTATTGACGTCCGTTCGATACGATGTCTGGGCACCAACTAAATCGCCTTCTCTCACACTATTTCTCACTACGTCGACAAATGGGCGTGGTTTAGGTCAATTCAACTAATGCCACGCCCATTCTGGGACTTACGGGTTGCTTTTGGGTCATGCTGCATCTCTTTCTAGACTAGTTCTTTTCTTTTTAACGAGCTATCTGCTTCTCTTTCTTCTAAAGCACCCTCGTTGACTCTCTCTCACTCGATATAAGGGATGAGTTAATTTATATATATATATATATATATATATATATATATATATATATGAATTTGTATTAAGGCAGGCACACGATATAAGAGCATCCTAATTTTAAAATTAAAGTATTTAATTTAAATAAAACAAAATAATGTACAGTTGTAGAGGAACGTTTTTTATTAGGATTTTACTTTAGTATAATTTTTACACAAAAAAAAAATTGTGTTTAGGCAGGTACATGATAAAAAACCACTCAATATTTCAACTTTTTTAAAAAAATTCTGATATATGTACAAAGGTAAAATTTGGTTTTATATATATATACACAATTTACAAAATACATATAAAATACATATAATCAATTATAATTTTATAAAAATAAAAAATAGAACATTTATTATAGATTATATTCTATTATAATAGACAGTTTTATTTTTTATATTTATCTATATACATAAATGCATTCTGAAATTTGCAATTTTAGAGAAAAAACATATTAAAATTTAGAGAAGCAAGTTTTATATTTTTTTTTAAATATAATATAAAATTATTGTAATGCAGGTCCATGATGCGAGAACACTCTTTATTTTATTTACACGATTTATTTTATTAATGCTTTTAGTGAAAATTGTAGCAAAGTACAAAAATTGTTGTAATTTTATTCTTAAATTGGGTGTTATATCCAAAATTTGATTAAACGCCCTTTATAAGGGTAGTCCGATTATTATATTGTAATCGTTATATACGATGAATGCTAAAGCATCCACGTGAAGTAAATACTCTGAATAAGCAATTTGCTTTGTCTAAGCTAATTAGTAGAAAAAATGAGACAACACGAATATACCTATAGGATCAGTTAGTCATTATCTAAGGGTAGTCACATTATTATATTTTTTTAAGTAAAAATAAATACATCATATAACAATTTTCAATAATGTTTATTAGTAATATGATAACACTCGTGATGCACACATTTAGTGTCAACCATTATACACATTTATATAATGATAAATTATAAATTATATATTATTTTTATAATAACATTAAAACTGTGTATAGTATTTAAAAACAATAATGTAATTAAAGTCATACTTCAAATATGACATGATCGGTTTGTCATTGTAATTAGCATTGAGAAATGAACCTTCATTAGAGAAATAAAGTAATTGCTGATTATGAAATTTTATAATATTTGTTCACACAGTGTATTATGTTAAACAACGTCTAAACAAATATTGTTTACGCAACTTCACTCATCATGTAATAATTGTGTTTGAAGAACTTCATGTAATTAAAATTAACATACATTCATTGACTGCTTGTATTTTTTTTACTTTTTCGCTGGCGATATAATCTCATTCTTAGAACCGCTCTAATATCTGTCTTGCCTAAAAAATATTTGCCATTTTAATAACTTCAAAGATTTATAGAAACTACGAATAATATAGAAATAATTTCTAATCGATAAACTTACGTTTAGTACACGGCACAAATGTTTAATTTGTTTTATTATTTTCAAGGAACAGGGTAAAATATTCTTCTGATTCAGGCATTTTTTATTAAATCAAGATTTGTACTATGATGTAACTATAAAATGTTTATTTATTTATGCCGATTTCCTTGTTGATATCGGTACGCATACAGCGTTGATGCCGGTACGCATACAACGACAGATCTCTATTCACATACACGACGGCTAATCACAATCGACTCGTATAGTAATGATATCATCGAGAGTGAATAACGAATCATTGGCACTCGACTCTTATCTTATCTTATCTGCCGTAACGCACTTCCATTGCATTTGTACGGATTTACACCCTAGTTGCGTCTAAAGAAGTTCTACTTCAAAATAGACTTTACAGATCACAATAAAAATGCATGCAATAGCATTCACGTAATTCACTTTTAAAAATATATTGAGAATTTTTTCCGATATAACATATGTTACAATCATTACAATGCAATATGAATGCAATCTATTGCAAAAACTAAGTCAGTAATTTTATATTTGGCGGATTTTGTATTTAAAAAAAAAGAAGGGAACTGAATGTATTGTCAAAATTAAAAATTGAGATAAACCTTTTCCGAAAAATTACATTTTTTTTTATAAAATGTAATTGAAACTTTCCATATATGGTGAAAAAAGAGTAATACATTTATCTAAGGTTTTGTATTATTTTAGCTGAATGATGACACACATTTAGCTTCTAAACGTATAAATATTTATATATATGATAAAATTGTTCTTGAGCATCCATCCAGTTATTAAAAACAGTTTTATTGAAAGAAAATGTTTTTATTCAGAGAACATACGTTTCGGGTCTTGATTTGACCCATCTTCAGTGCATACAAATAAATTTGAAAAAAACACAAAAACACACGAAATTGCACGAAAAAAATAAATATGAAACAAAAAAATTAAAAAACGTCGAGTTAAGATAATTTTTAAAAAATTGTAAAATTAAAATAAATAATATATTTTATTATGAAAAAGCTTCTTCCAATTGAACATGTTGTCAGCTTGGAGTATGTGTTACGTGTTTACACATGTTTTTTACGTGTTATCATATTATTTCACCATCTGAAGAAAAACTTCTCGATTTATATATATATATATATATATATATATATAATTTTATTTATAACAATAGCAATAATTATATCAAAACGCTTTATTCCTATTAACGTAATTAAGCGATTCTGTTTCGAGTTTCTAATTGCTAATTGGCTATAATTACGCAGATTTATTCGCCTCCGTATACAACTACACACTTTGTATGTATACATATATACATATGTATATATACATATGTATGTATACAGCTGTACAAATGTATACATCAAAGTGATATATACGCCCCAGGAGCTGCAGAAATTTTCTGGGAGAGCAAACACGACCAATGGAAACGTCGGGTAGCTAAATTGATTTTATGAGACGGGCGGGGCGTATGTATATAGATACATATATGCATATATAATGTATATACATATATACATTTGTATATTGTATGTATACATATACATATATACATTTATACATACAAACATATATATTGACTTCTCGTAGGGTAAGTTACAGTAATCGCAAAAAAATCGAAAATGAAAATTTGTATATATCTTTACGTTTTGAAGGTTTCTGAACATTTTGGCATACCTTCGAAAAAATTGATGTGTGTGTGTGCATGTGCGTGTGTGCGCATGTGTATGTGTGTGTGGATACAAATTTTCGTCGACGATTTCGGGAACACGGTTCAACCGATTTCAATTATTCAAAAAACATTTGATTGCTGTTGATAAGGAGACGTGCTGATTAGTTTTTGGCATACCTTAGAAAAAATTGATGTGTGTGTACGTGTGTGTGTATGTATGTGCATGTATGTGCGGATACCATTTTTCGTTGACGATTTCGAGAACACGCATCAACCAATATGAATGATTAAAAAAACATTCGATTCCTATTGATAAGAAGACGTGCTGATTAGTATTTGGCAAAGGTAGGTCCAGCCGTTTCGGAAATACGGAGCAAAGAGTGCAGGAAATAGAAATCGTGTTTTTGAAAGAACGTAGCATCCGATTTGAATGATCAAGAAAATATTCCATTTGTAATGATGGGGAGAAGTGGCGATTAGATTTTGGCGAAGGCAGGTCTAGTCGTTGCGGAAGTAAGGAGCTAAATGTGCAAAAATGGGAGTTTTTGAGAGAGCTAAGCATCCGATTTGAATGATTCAAAAAACTGTTTGCTTGTGTTGACGAAATGATTGCTTTTAAGGAAAGATTTTTTTTTTGTTTTAATTTGAAAAAAAAAATGTTTTTACTAAATTTTATTATGGTGCGGGAAGTTCCAGAAATTTGCCTTAAGGCACGATGCCATACACCATTAGTTTTTATCAAGGGTTGTCCGAATTTAACACGTTTTATTAAATTTTGGGATCAATTCTCTTTAAATTTTGATTCTTTTTAAAGCTGGAGAAAAATTACTCGATTACTAAAATGAAATAGGGGTTGGTGGTAGAAGGGTAAGAATTTAGGTCTATATATATATATATATATATATATATATATATATATATTCTTCTGTACGGATGTATGAATTCAAACTCCTCTTAAACGGTTATTCGAATTTTGATAAATCTTTTTGTAGTTTGTTAAGGAAAATTTTCAAGAAGTTATAAATTATAAAACTATAGTTATATTGTAGAAATAAATGGAAAAAATTTCAAAAAATTACTTATCATTGTTTGACATTTGAACTGTTATTTGCTAAAAATGTCAATTCTCTTGAAATTTGAATTTAGCTGACATTATGAGCCTAGATAATATTAGAATGTAATATATAAGAAAAATGTTATGTCTACATTATTATTGCTGAAAAGAGCTAAGATGTGCTAGAAATTAAAATAATATAAGATACTGTCAACAGTATATGTATGGCAGATGAAATTATAAAATTCAATTTCACACACACACACATATATATATATATATATATATATATATATATATATATATATATATATATATATATATATATATACAAATCGATTTCCATTTCACAAACACGTGTTTGCCACATTCATTTCACTTAATGGTCGGTTAAATGATTTTAAAATAAAAAAAAATCTGTCGAGGGTAAGAATTAAATAAAATCGCTTTTAGTAACACCTCATTAACGTACTTAAGATCCATTAGTAATAGTAAACACTTTTTTCTTTTTTATATAAATGAGGCACTTTTTTCAACAGATTTGTAAATGTATGAAGACTTTGCGAGAAGACTTATCGATTTTAGTATAGACATATACTCATAGTAGTCATATTTAAGTATAATATATTAAAATTGCAGCATTATGAAAGTAATAAAAATATTTAAAACAAATAAAACTTTACTATTAATACTAGCAGATTCGAACACTTTGTGTTCC